CATATTAAAATGCTAACTTGAACTTGGTTGATCCCCCTTTTTCTTTCCTTACAAGAATACTCAGCTAAAGTAGAGACTTTCATACTGTTGAGCAGTTGTTAAGAATTACACTATAAAGGAAGTTTTATGGCAAATAATTACTCCCTCCTCCCTTTTTTTTTTTTTTTTTTAAGGACTCTTCTTTGTTGCTCATTGGACTTTCTAATTCTCCCATGTACGGACTAACAAAATCCACTGTGTTCCAAATTTAAAAAATGTCAAAATTCTAGGAACAAAGTTAAATATAAAAATTGTGCATCATTCCAATACATTATGTTCACTTTCTGAAAGATAACTTTCCTTTCGTATCTAATTCAAAAGCGCGTTTCCCTACTTCCATGTTCACCAAATTATAACCACACGAAGAGGTTATTCACCACTTAGGAATGAAAGTCCATCTGTTAGTTATTATCCTTGCTGTGCTACAGCACTTCAGAATGAGTGCTTGGAAGATTCTTTGCAAGCGTCATACCCGATCTTTGCTCTCTTCTAGGCAAATGTAGATACCTAGAAAAGGCTACCCCCCTTTGTTGGGGGGGGGAAAAAAATCTTTTTTTCTTCCCATAAGTTAGTGGGAGTTTGGTGATGACTTTTTAGCATTAGGCCTGCAACAGATTGCATGAAGTTCTGTGATCTATTTCATATGAATCATGCCAAAAAAAACCTTAATGCTTCCACTCAGTTCTAGGAAGAAAAAATTCTTTGCTTAAAATATGAGTAAGGTTTTTATTTCATAGCTATCACAGGAAAATAGTGAACATGATTGTACAAACCTATGCATTTTAGTAATATATGCAGTGACTTAGATGATTAAAACCTATTTGCTCTCTTTTCAGTGACTGAAGATCAAATTGAAGAAATAACATGTTTACAATTTATCTTCAGTTCCAGATTGCAGATTTTTTTACTATTAAAATCATAGTTCCTGTAGATGACATTCAGGAAAACCTGATCTTAGCAGGGAATTTCCTGCTGTCTGAATTTGCGGAGACAAGTTACGCCACTGAGATGATAGCCCTAGGCTCCATTTGGGGGGGGGGGGGGGGGGGGGGTTGTTGTCATGCAGTGACCTAATAGAGCATTCCTGTCTGTGGGAGACAGATTAGGAGACTGAATTTTTGAATTCCTGGAAGGTAGTAGAAAAACTATAGATACTGAAACTATCCTTTGCAGAAACTCATAAATGCTGTCAAAAGTGCAGAGCCAAGTCAAATGCACTATTTTGTGGAAAGTAACAAAGCGATTCATAGAGCAAATATATCTGTAAAAGATTCTATAGAAACTGATGTGGGACTGCTGAGTCTTGTTAAAGTTTCTCAATTGTCACAGTTTTGGTAGGTTTTCAAACTGCCTGCTGGCAGGCAGAATTTTGCTTATTTTTTGTCCTTCAAAAAGCAGTTATTGTTACTTCATCCCAGATGAAATGAAAAGCTGTTGTCTGCCAAGATTGTCTCTTTGTGGTCCTTATAAATGGAATCTTCTTATTAAGACAAAATCCAGGCCCATTTCTTTGAGACTTTGCTTGGGGAAAGAAAATGATCAGAGAGGTACGCTAAAAGGGGTGTAGAAAGGGGAGACTGAAGGAGTGTGTGGAAGGGGCTAGGAAAACGTGTGGGAAGTAAACAGCAGGATGGAAAGAGCGTTCTGAGAGAAGGGTGCAAGGAGAAGTCCCGCTGGCTGTGGGAGCTGGGAGACTGTAGGAGGCAAGGTGGGGAGAATGTGCTTTAGGTACCAGGATGCAAAGGCTTATCTGCAGTAGCATGTTTTAACCATGAGTTATTTAAAAACAAAAACAAAAAAAAACCCTATATATTACTTGTTTCTTTCCAAATTTACGGTTCAGGGATGTGGTGTATCACATCTGGGTTCAAAGGTGTCTGTTGCTTGTTGACCTGCATGGTCAGTGGCAGGCAATTTGTCCAAGATGGGCAGTGGGGGAGAGAGGAAGAAGCAGTGGAAGGGTTGAAGGAAGGTGTGAAGATGGGGCAGTAGGGGAATGGTTTTGTCACTGTGGTCAGTTCATTTGAGGGCCTGGAACCAGTCTTACCTCCAAATCGGTTTTGTCATAAAGGACTGAAGGAGTTTAGGATGATAGCCTCAGTTAAGTTGGTTCCTGTGACATGCCCTGGGGTACAGAAGGGTCGCAGAGTGAAAGGGCAGGCTTGTGTTGGTTGTCATTCATTTTTAGCCAGCTGTTTGAATGGGACTGTGCACTAAAGGAAGGGCCTGGGAAGGGTTGCAGCCCACTGTCGGTTCTTACTGAGCAGCCCAGGCAACCTGGCAGCACTGCAAGGCCAGCAGATGAAAATGGTGAGAATATCTCCTCGTGGTCTGATACTGGTTCTCCCTGCCCCAGCCTTATCGACGCCTGCCTGCCATGAGGCTGTTTCCTTGCAAACGCATGGGAGGAGGACTTGTGTTCCAGCATTACCAGCCCCATGTATTCAGCTCATCATCATCGTGGTGCATGATCAGTTCAGGAAGTCACGAGACTTGTAAAAATCCTTTTCACTTTGTTTTCCAGATTCGTTCTCTTCAGCTTTTCTCCAGAATGGCTAGACCCTTTCATAAGTAAAAAATTGAAATTGGGTGTGAATTTAGGGTTCTGGAAGAGCCTTATAGGGCAGTCGTCTTCTGGCCAGAGGTCTGTGGTGTTAACTCCGTGGTATGAGACTTTGGGAAAAAATTTGGGAGGTTTTATCAGGACAAAATTTTTCAGAGAGAACCTGAAAAAAGCATTCTTGTTCAGGAGCCATCCTGTGTTTGCCTTTGGAATTGAGGGACAAGTATTAGTTTTCTTCTGAGATTTTTTTAAGCATGTGCAGTCAAAGAAGAGGGGAGCAGGTGGGTTAGCAGAAAACCTCAAGTTACACTCGCATATAGCGTGGAGAGTGTGATAGACTGAGGCCTTTTGGATAGAGTAGGCAGTAACAGGGAGGTTTGAAAGAGAAATATTAAGCTCCGTTGTTATATTCTCCCTGAATTTTACAGCCCAGATTATGCACTAAAATTTTGAATGTTTTCTCTGTCACTGTCAACCAATAAAATTTACTTAAAAAACAGAAAAGATAAAGCTGTGACTCAGTGATCTAACACTTCAGTAATTTACTATCATAAAATAGTTTTAAGTACAAATGTTTTATCTTATGCCAAGCTGGACGCTAAAGATGTTTTGTCTAAAACATGAGATAATGGAAAGTGTATTGTGGCATGTGAATTACTTTAGCCTCTTGGTGGTAAATGTTTGCTTAACCAGACAAGAATGTGTCGAGGTCCTTGCCAAAGGAAAGGTATTGCCATACTTTGCATTTAGAGTACTGTAAATAAAGCAGTAAATATGTTTCTGCTCATGTGTAAATCCACAAGTTATGAATGCCTTCATTCAATAAGAAATGTAATATACTGTTATCCCTTTTAAAGGGCTTCAGTAAGAACAGGTCATAATTACTTTGGGTTGAGAGAAACATGAAACCAAATATTTTCATGATGATTGAAGTTGAATATGCGAGAGAATAGTTTTTGCTCAAACTAAATTTTCCTTAAATCCTAAGAACTCAAATCTTGTTTTTACCTTCAATGTTCTTCTTGTCTGCTAACTCCTCAGATGTACTGTTCTTAATTGCACGTTGCTGTAAATCATAAAGTATGTAATTTCCTTCGCCTATCCAGTGTATTTTTTGGCAAAAGAAAGCCCAACTGCATAACATGTAAATGATCAGAGAAGGAAGATTAGCTATGGGAAATACTTCCCTTATTACCCAGAGTGTGTTCATGTGCCTTTAACTGTTGCAGTAGCTTAGTAGTAATTTAATAATCCTGATTACAGAAAGCATCGCATAACTCAGATTGCAGTGTAATAATATCAGAGCATTTGTTGGATGCTGTAAGTACATTGAGTGAAAGCAACAGGGTTCTCTTTTAGGCAGCTTTGGAACACTCCTTCCTTTCCCCAAAAGCCTACCTCTGGGTTTTTGGTTAGAGAGTGGGGAGAGAGTATTACCGTTATACCATATAATTGCGGAGAATACGCTCAGTTTACTTTTTATTACCGTGGCATGATTTGTTACCTAACTGCCTTGACCCTCTAGGGTGAAGAGCAGCCCTTATATGGGAAAGGGCTGCTCATCCAAGTCATGCGCCTCTTGTAGCACACACAAATATGTGGGGTTTTCTACAGAGAACTGTTTACAGATGATGCTGTGAGCAGAGATTTGCTTAGGAATATCATACCATCTTTCAGAAACAATTGCCCTAATGGGGATCAGTGCTGTCTCTTTTGGGTATCCAAGCCATTACTTCTGCTCAGAGCTCTAAGTGCTTCCAGTGTACCTTTGGTTTGACAGTCATTTAGCTATGCTTTCTATTTTGACTTTCCAATAAATCATTGATAATTCATAAGCAAACATGATAAACTAAGGTACACTACAAACCATGTAAATTAAATCCGTAGTATTAAAGCCCTTGAGCATGGAAATTTTCAAACGTGTGTTAAGTATATACGAAGGGTGACTGGTTGGAAAAACAGGTAGAACATTTGAGTCTTATATTAATTTAGAGTGTGATTTTCATAAATGGCAAAAGAAAGCCCAGCTGCATAACATGTAAATGATCAGAGAAGGAAGAGCTGCTATGGGAAATGCTTATGTATATCCGTTTAGATATCCATATCTGATTTTGGTAAAGATATCCATTAAGAACTCTTAAAACACTTCATCCCATAGGAAAATGGGAATTTCATTTTCCTTCTCAGGTCGTTAGGCTTAGAAGTCAGAAGAGTTGAAAATATATTTAGCGTAGTTGTATAATAAGACTGGATATGTAGTTTGAATCATAAGATAGTTCTTCTGAACATGATATCATCTGAAAATCCTGTGATTTTTCCAGAAACTTTTTTTTAGAAAGTGTACATTATGTCCTTGGTAGTATTAAAATCTAAAATAAACTTTCCTGTTATTTTTAAGGTACAATGAACTGGATGCCGGTAGGAGTCTCCTAGACAATTTGAAAGACAAAGTAATAATTGAGTACCCAACGTTATTTGTGGTCTTGAAAACATTGAAGAATGACATGGTGGTTCTTGGCCAAGGTAAGCATATATTTATTTCCTGTTATGCTATACTTAGATATTTTAGTTGAATAAACAATAATTAAGGATACACCCACTATTAATGCTGGGCATGTACAGTATGTCTTGTATTTCCCTCTGAATATAAAAGATCACTATAAAAAAGCTGTGTGGAATGCTTTGTCTTAAATCTGCTGTTTGATGGCTTATGGACACAAGCTGTATTGTATGTATTTGTCCTAACTTTGTTTACTAGCGCTTAGTCCATTTTTGTATAGTTTTAGCCATCGCAGTAAAATAGCTCTTCAGACTTGTGCTTGAGCAAAGTTTTGACAGAGTTGGTTGTTTCTGAAAAGTCAAACTGTCTGGGGAAGATCAGTTATAATAAGCCTACTGATCATAGAAGGGAATGATTTTCCATGAGTTCCCAGCATAACTCCTAACATTGGACAAATGGTTTCGAATTACAAGATAGCCATTAGAAATCATATGGCAAAGTGGCTTTACAGTTGGGTTGAAAGCACTACATTGTCTTTTTAAAAGTACTCCATTGGGGGAAAACGTCATTTTGCAGTTAACTTAGAGGAGAGTCTGGGTCTAGTAGGAATTCATATTTTAGTTTTGAAGTTCATTTCAATCCTTTTCCCCACTATAAAGGCTTCATGTTTCAGCTTCACTTTTTGCAGCTGCTGTTAGAAGGGGCAGTTTAATTAGTCACTGTAGTTGTCAAATTGCAATGTTTTTGGTGATGGTCAAGTCTAATTTTTACAAATTTCTGAGGAGCAGCTTTGAACATTCTTGCAGTGGAAATTTCCCTGCAAAAACTGAATCATGGCTCTATATGTATTGAATTAGACTGAATAAATATGATACTGAGAATGTTGTACCAGTGATATCAAATTTCCAGAGATCTTGGGTGCTCTGGTTAGATCCATCGCAGCAATCTGCTCTCAAAGAGACAGAGTAATAACATTTCTTGCATTACGTATTGCAAGAGCTTCTGAGAGTGAGATACCCTGCCCAAGGATGAGAGGGAGTCTTGTGTGAGCAACTAGATCTGCTGATATTCACACTAGACGTGCATGTGGATTTACTAGAGGACAAGAACACTGGATACCTCCACTTTATCCATTATTTCTTGAGCTAGGACCTTTGCTTTTCAGTAGTCAGCCCTTCCCTTGTGGTTTAGATGCCAGGAGGGAATTACAATTGGTTGACTCATAAACTTAATCTGAATAGAGTGGCTGTCATTATTGTCTGCTGAGCTAGTAGGGAAGTTGTTCTTTTAAGGGTATAGATGCAAGTAGGTGTTGATTGAACAACTATATTTTGAAGCTTCTGCAGTGCCTAGCAGGTTCCAGGAGAAGGCAGGGCAGGAGGGCGAAGGAGGAGAGCGTTGACATAGCGGGGGACGCGCCGGTAGCTGTCACAGCACAGGGCCAGTGCCAGTCTTCAAGGCAGTGACCTTCCTTTGTTGCAGGGATCACTCAGCAGTCCTCCCTGAAACTGGTATTCAGGGAATGCCAGCAGCTATTTCAGGTTTAGGGACCCATTAATTTTCTTAATCTTTTTTTTTTTTTGGCAGCTGTTTCTATAGATTCCATAAAAATCAAGAGCAAAGTTCCCTATTGAGGGGTGTTGGGGGTAATGTAGCAAAAGATTATCACTAGTGGAGAAAAATAATTATGATTAAAGTTGTGAAAATCATGTTATTTTTGTACATCTTTTTATTTGACATATTAGCATTTCCTTCAGCCTTGAGTTTGGTTTGCACCCTGTGTTTCTTAGACCCTGTTCTGTTAGCATGAAAGAAA